ACCGGGGAGGGATGGGTGCGTGGGACGGGACGCCGCCCAGCCAGCAGCCGCACTGGCCGGGACAGAGTGGCCTTTTAATGGTCTGCCTGGAGCGAATGCACATCATTTCTGTGATCACATGCCCTGCAGGCCCCGCACCCAGGCTTGAACTTATAATCGTGAAATATCCCAGAGAAACTGAAGCCTGTCGTGGGAGGAGCCGGGAAGGGCTGACTCGGGCAGCTTCCCGCGGACCCCTGAGCACCTAGAAACAGATGGGGGCGGGGGGCAGTGGGGGGGGCGAGGTGCCCAGACATCAGGCAGGAGGTCAGGCTCAGCCACTGTCAGGTGGGGCGGTAAGTCCCAGCTCCCCCACTTGGGGCCGTTTGTCCTGAGAGCAGGGTCTGGGGGACAGCGGAGCCGCTCGTTTTACAGCTATTTTTGCGCTGGGTCCCTGGAGGGTCTTCTTTTCTTTTCATTTCCAGCCTCTCTTTTTTAAAAATATATTTTTATTGATTTCAGAGATTGGAGTTCGTTACGTAGACGGAGGTTAGATAATGTTTTTTTTAAAAAAAAAACTTTTGACCGTTTCTCTTTCGTCAGGCTGGGTTTCTGCCTCTTTAAATATTATTTTTGAAAGTGGTCACTTGATAAATTTAGAGCCCTCAAATAGAATGTATATCTTTTTAAGATTTTTAAATTGATTTTTAGAGAGAGGAAGAGAGAGTGAGACATCGATGTGAGCCTCCTGCACGCGCCCTGACCAGGGAGCCCGGAGCCCGGGGAGGAGCCTGCAACCAAGGTACGTGCCCTTGACTGGAATCGAACCTGGGACCTTTTGGTCCGCAGGCCGATGCTCTATCCACTGAGACAAACCGGCTAGGGTAGAGATTTTTTTAAAGCATGTACATGCTCAGTTTAGTCCTAAGTATATAAGTATACAGATCACAATTATGTTTCTCCCAGTTGTAGTGAATAATAATAACGCAGTGGTAGCAACACTGTAATTACGCCAAAGTGATGAGAAACACAAACCTGCCTCCAAATGTTGGCTCTGCCCTTACTGGTTTTGTGACTTTGAACTTATTATCTAATCTCTGAGCCTCCGTTTCCTCATCTGTAAAGGGAGGATTAACAGAATTTACCTAAGATTAATGGGAGGACAAAATGCAATCACTGATCTAACTCACTCAGTACCTGGTCTGGTAAGTAATAGTGCCTCATTAAATGATGATTGTTATTGTTACTCTAGAAACCATTTCCCCTGTGGAGTTCAGAGGCTATGGCCTTAGCAAGCTCCAAGCCTTTGGATAGCACAAACCATTCAGAACAAAGCTACTGCTTTCACAAACTTCAAATTCTAAAGGTTACTTTTCCAGTCAACTCCCTGACTTCTGTCTCTATTTTTGGACCCAGAGGTAAACTTTCATTAACAATATAGTATAAAAGTATATTGAACGTCACTGTAAATTTGAGAGGAGAAACAATGAAAGATGAACCATTGTCTTTGCAATAAATCACTTTGGAGATAGAAACATCAATGATGAGAGAGAATCATTGATCGGCTGCCTCCCGCATGCCCCACTCTGGGGATCGGTCCACACCCTGAGCCTGTGCCCTGACCGGGAATGGACCGTGACCTCCTGGTGCGTGGCCGCGGCCCTGGAAGAGTCTTGATGGCTTTGCACGGTGCGTTCCGGGACAGCAGCGCGCGGTGCCGGCGTTCCAGCAGGTGTGGGCACCCCAGGCCGGAGCTCTGGGCCTCTTCTTCCCCGTCACCGGTTTTCTACAGTGTGGGCGGCTCTCCGTCCTCCCGAGTCGCTGCACCCCTGACAGTCAGTGCCCCAGAGGGAGCCGGGGAGCAGGCACTCCGGGGTCCCCCTCCCCCCTCCCCTCGGGGGCTGTGGCCCTCACTCTCTGTGCTCTGCTGCGGGTAACGCGGCCGCAGAGCCCTTGGTGGTGGGGCTCCTCACACACAGGTTTGTGGTTTCCTCCTGTTCGTTTAAGAAGCAAACGGGCTGAACTTCTTTATGCTCAAAAGTTGCTAAAGTCGGGCTCCACGTGGCATTTGCATAGTCTGTGCCTCGCTGGCTTTTTGTTTTCTTCCCGTGAGTCAGCACAACCGAGTGTCCCTGAGTCAGCAGAGAACAAGGTTTCCCAGGGCTCTGCCGGCGCCGGCTTTGGGGTACGGTCACCATGGAAACGTGAGGGGGCCCTGCTGACTGTGCCCCCTCCCTCCAAACAGAGCAGCACTTCCTGACGCAGCTGCAGGAGCTGGGCATCCTGTCCCTGACCCCCGCCCGCATGGTCTTCGGGGAGCGGATCGCTTCCCACGACGACAGGTAGGGAGGCGCCCTGCTTGCTGGGGGCGGGCGGGCCTGCTCCGAGGGACACTTCTCCACCCTGGGCCCTCATTCTTTGTTGTTGTTATAGTTTTCCCATTGATTTTGAGAGGGAGGAGGGGAGAGGGAGAAATATGAATGTGAGAGAGACGCATCCATTGGCTGCCTCCAGTTGGCTGCCTCCCGAGCGTGCCGGGGGGGAAGCAGCGTGGCACCCAGGTCTTTTTAAACAAAAGCCGGCAGATCTGGAAGGAAAGCCGCGTTGGATGGGGTGCTGGTGCTGGTGCTGGTGCTGCTGAAAGCGCGTGTTCTTGTCTCGCGCTGTCTCCTGGCTGTTGGGGCCGTGACCTGCACCGCGATGCCGGAGCCGGTGTCTGTGTGGTTACCTGCCTGGGGGGTAACCCGCCATCCTCCCCACCTCCCGTAAGAGCGGGACCTGAGCGTCTCCAGCAACGGAACAGCCTGCCCAGCGCCCAGCGCCCCCACCTCCCCGTCGCCTGTCTCTCCACAGCTGGGGGTGGAGTGAGTCCGTACTTGGGCGAGGCGGCATGGCAGTTCTGCTTTTTTCTTTTTTTAATCTTTTTTTTTAACCATTTGTACTTCGTAAGCGTCTATAGATGCAAGCGGCGGACCTTTTTAAATTAAATTCAAAATATCGTGGCAGTTAACTGGTTAAAATTGACTTTGTACAGAGAGAGGAAGGGAGAGGGAGAGAGAGAGGGAAACATCAATGATGAGAGAGTCATGAACCGGCTGCCTCCTGCACGCCCCCCACTGGGGATCCAGCCCACAACCCTGGCCTGTCCCCCGACTGGGAATCGAACCAGCAACCCTTTTGGTGCGCGGGACGGCGCCCAGCCACCTGGCCACAGGCCGGGGCTGAGCATCGCTCCTTAAGTCAGAGCAGAACGTGACCCTGTGGGGACATGATGGCCAGGCTGCCTGTGCCAACCGCTGGTCTTGGCACTAGAGCTCCCGGTGCACAGCTGAGAACCACAGGGATCCGCAGGTGGCTCAGCCCGGCCTGGGCGCCCCGCCTCGGCTCCCTGCCGCCCCTGCTGACCGGGCGGGCGGTTCTCTACAGCACATGTGAATGTGGGTGTGAATGTGGCTGAGACCGTTTTCAAAAAGAGAGTCAGGTTGTGTGAGAACCAGGCCCTTTTCCAACCTACTAGGAACCTCAGAGGTACTCAGCGTCTCTTGGGTCCTCAGCTGGCAGGGGTGAGGCCTCTCTGTCCCCGGCCTCAGCCGCGTCCTGGGGTTTCCTATGAAGAGGGAGGAAGCCCTGTGTCTGACTGCACAGCCCGGGGGGCCGGGGGCCGCCTGCCCTCTTACCCTCTGTCCTGTTACCACAGGTTTCTGCTACACTTAGCGGACAAAACTGGTGGCATCATCGTAACGAATGACAACTTCAGAGAATTTGTGACCGAGTCGGTGTCCTGGAGAGAAATTATCACCAAAAGGTAACGTCCTCCCTTGTCCTTCCTCGGCCACATGCGCTGTGGTTCGTCCTTCGGTTCTGTTTGCTGTTTGTTTTGTGCTCACCTTGCCGTGCAGAGAGCAAGACAGGGAGCCAAGTCCTAGGACTGTATGCCCAGACCGTGGGGTGGGGCCCCTCCAGGTCAGGGGCCCCTGGTGAAGGGGGGCTGGGTGCCCACAGGCACCGCTCAGCCCGGAGCTCCCTGCCGGGCAAGGGCACATCTGGGTGCTGCTACTGTTAGCTGTGGGACACGGCAGGAGTGCCTCCTCCTGGCCTCGCCCGATGCCCAGGGGGCTTCTGCAGGTCACCGGCCTCACACGTTAGCCATGAAACATAAACGTTGCTGGTAAATTGGGTTCCCGAATCCAATTCCAATGCAGGGAGAGGGGTGGGGTTCCCCCACGTCAACCAACAATTCTCAGCCACCATCATGGTGTCTAGGAATTCAACTCAATTCTTTCTTTTTTACAAATATACTAGGGGCCCAGTGCATGAATTCGTGCACCTTGAAAGGAACTGTGGGCTGCAGTGGGCGCAGGGGCTGATCTCAGCCCCATCCTCTGTGCCTTCGCCCGGCCTCCCCGCCACGGCCCGAGGTCCTCTGTCTGCCAGCAGCCCCACTCCCGCTGCCGCTCCCATGCACTGACAGCGCCGGCCACGCTTGTACCCGC